GCTCCCTGTCCTGTGATCAGAGGGACCTTGGCTTTTTTGAGAGCCTCCTTCTTCATGAGGTAGGGAAAGAGGTACTCGTGGTCGCAAGAGAGGCAACCTGTCTGCCATCTGCATCGAGAGCATCTTTTCAGGCCGAAGAGATAGAGATGCCGGATCTGCTTCACTGCCTCCTGGGAGAGGTCGGTGTACCTGAAGTGCATAGAGTTCTCCTCCAGAGACTTCTTGGCTGCAGCCTTTGCAGAGGCCTTCAGCTTCTCAGAGGACTCGAGAGCCTTGGCTGCCTTTGCCTGAGAGGCCGAGAGCTGCTCCTGCAACTTGAGAGCCTTGGCCTCCTGCTTCTTCTTGTCCTCCGAGAGCTTTGTCCTCTCCTGGAGGCAGAGCTTAGCTGAAGACTTAATTAAGGAACCCCAACTAATTAAGTAAACCCTAAACCCTAATTACCCTAAACCCTAATTAAGCCCTGAAACCCTCCCCGAGTCTCCTTCTGGAGAGCCTTCTCGAGAGGCAGCAGTCGCTGCTTGTGCCAGACCTTAGCGAGCTCAGCCGGCCACAGTCGAGAGGCAGGTCCTTCGGAGAGGCCCGCCACGATCAACTCCATCCAAGAGAGGACGAAGAACCCGCACTCGTTGTCGGCTTGACGAGAGGCGTTCACAGGCACGAGAGCAGGGTCGAGCACCCCCAGCAAAGCAGCCACACTCCTGGCCTGTTTCAGACCATTCTCAGAGGGCGGATGCAAAGAGNNAGAGACCACGGGTGATCCGGAGAGGCCCTCTCCCCTTCCAAGAGCGTCCAGTGGTTGGGGCTCACAGACCAGATGGGGCAGAGCAGGCGGCACTTTCCATCCAAGAGCTGCTCCAGAGCTTTGTGCGGCCAGTCAGAGGCTGCACTCACCACCTCGAGCTGGTAGAGGAGAGTCGGCTCGATGAAAGAGAACTGCTTGCAATTCAGAGGCCAGGTCCAGCAGAGGAGCTCCCAGCCCCAGAGAATGTGCTGCTCCTCGAGCAGCACAGAGAAGTCCGTCGGCACCTTGATCAAGAGGTGGTCGATGGCCTT